TCACACTTGAACCTGCCACTACAGCTATCGGCTCCTATTTATGGCTCTCTGTGGGGGCTGCTGGCATGCTGCTAACATTATGTTGGCACCGCTGTTGTTGCTGCGCGGCCTGCTGGAGCATGAGCGCCAGGCATGGACAAAAATGGAGCTCGACGGTAGAACACGGGGAGACGTGGGAAATGAGTGTTAAAATACGGAGTGTTGAAGGAGTGGAAGCAGCGGTGGAGGTGAAGGTTCCACAGACAGTAGGGACGCATTCACAAAACACAGCCTTGAAGGAATCAGTGGTTAAGCTCTCGCTCTCAAAGCTTTTTAATCTTCCTCCTCGGGGCGAGCAGAGAAAGACGCAGTGTTGTGACAAGATTACAGTGCAGAGTGCAGCCACGGTTGAGTGAGAGGATTATTGAAAGTCATTGTTGTGGCTGTTGTACATGTCAGCAGCACATACGTCTTGATTTAACTCTCACCGTTTACTGCGGTGCATTTCCACAGCTGGAATCATGAGCTTTGTTTAATATTTTTTTATTGAGGCCAGCAGTGGTTGTCATGCAGTTGTCCAACTGTGTTCTTACTCCAGTCAAAGTGACCACCGGGGAGTCGTTGCTAACAGTATTATTTCCCCAAACAGGTTTCTGTGTTAATTCCAGTTTTCTTAGTCTTGTTTTTTTTCTTCCTGCAGGACAATGTGTTGAACATTATCAATCAGATCATGGATGAATGCATTCCCAACGATCGGGCCAACAGGGACTTCTCTGTCAAGTTCCCTGAGGAGATTCGTCATGACAACCTGGCAGGGCAGCTGTGGTTTGGAGCTGAGGTGAAGTATTCCCCCCTGTTTCAATCTCAGGAAAAACAACTTCAGGAGTTGGAGTTCCAAACATGTCGACATGTCAGTTTTACAGTTGTAATGTTTCCAGCTGATTCAGCCATTTTATATTTGTTTCTTTTTCACCTCTCTTTTTTTCTTGCTACTTTTTTAAGTCTTCTGTACCAGCATGGTGTGACCCTGTAGATCAGCTGTTTCTAAACCCATTTGTATCGACGATATCGGCCGTTACTGCGGACTGGTTATACCACGCCATCGTTGAAGAATCATTCAATTTTCAAAATAAAACATCTTTCAGACTTTATTCTGTCAGTATCAGAGTCTGAATGACCTGTTGGTTTGAAACACTGACAGATCATATTTAAATACAAAAATACAGATATGATTGAGGAGGAGAATTGAACCAAGGACTCTCCATTAGCACGGCAGATGTTCTAACAACCACACCATGGAACCACCTTTGATTGTTTACGACCTCATGCCAGAGTATACTTTTCAGAAGTTTCTCCTGAGCTGCGGTGGACACCTTTTATTCACGCCTGGTCCTCGTCTCCTCCTGTTCTCCTCAGTGTTTGGCTGCTGGCTCCATCATCATGAACAGGGAGATAGAGAGCATCGCCATGAGACCTTTGGCTAAGGACCTCACCCGCAGCCTGGAGGAGGTTCGGAACATCACCCGGGACCAGGCCCTCAGAGACCTCAACCTGTACACAGATCGTATGAAGGATGCATTGCGGCATTTCGACAGCCTTTTTGCTGAGTTTGAGCTCAGGTAAATTGGAAACAAGCTGTTTTTAAAAACACAAGTTTGAGCTCAGGTAAATTGGAAACAAGTTTTTAAAAACACCTTATTCATTTCCGGCAGCAACTTTAAAGAACGCTTAGAGCACGTGTGTCAAACATAAGGCCCCGGGGGGCAAATGTGGCCCACCAAGTCATTTTGAGTCTTTACTACTTTTTGCTTGTCTTTGTTTGTCAGTTATGTGTCAGCCATGGTGCC